CGAACCTGTTAACCATTTGCATGACCCAGTGACTTCTCTTTGCTTACCTATCCACTTAACCAAGAAACAAAATGCCTTAAAATTTCCAAACCAAACCCATCTACTGCCGTCGAGTCAATTCTGACTCATAGTGACCCTATAGGACAGGGTAAAACTGCCCCATAGGGTGTTCAAGGCTGTAAATCTTTTTTTTGTTTGTTTGTTTATTGTTGCAGTTTAAGTGAAAGTTTACATTTCAAGTTAGTCTCTCATACAAAAATTTATACATGCATTGTTATGTGACCCTAATTGCTCTCCCTATACTGTGACAGCACACTCCTCCTTTCCACCCCTGATTTCCCATGTCCATTCGACCAGTTCCTAACCCCCTCTGCCTTTTCATCTCACCTCCGGACAGAAGCTGCCCATTTAGTCTCATGTATCTGCTTGAGCTAAGAAGCACACTCTTCATGAGCATCATTTTGTGTCCCACAGTCCAGTCTAATCTTTGTCTTAAGAGTTGGCCTTGGGAATTGCTTTAGTTTTGGGTTGACAGAGTGTCTGGGGGCCACGCTTCCTGAGGTTCCTCCAGTCTCAGTCAAACCATTAAGTCTGGTCTTTTCACTGGAATTTGGGTTCTGCACCCCACCTTTCTGCTGCTCCATCAGGGACTTTCTATTGTGTTCCCTGTCAGGCTGGCCATTGGTGGTAGCCAGGCACCATCTAGTTCTTCTGGTCTCAGGCTGATGAAGTCTCTGGTTTGTGTGGCCCTTTCTGTCTCTTGGGCTACTACTTTCCTTGTGTCTTTGGTGTTCTTCATTCTCCTTTACTCCAGGTGGTTGGGACCAATTGATGCATCTTTGATGGCCTCCTGCTAGCTTTTAAGAGCCCAGATGTCAAGGCTGTAAATCTTTATGGAAGCAGACTGTCACATCATTCTCCCATGGAGTGGCTGGTGGGTTTGAACCACTGACCTTTCAGTTAGCAGCCGAGTGCTTAACCACTGTGCCACCAGGGCTCCTTCAAAAATTGCAAGAGAATGTAAAAGCTTTTTTTATTTTTTTTAACTTTTTTAGGATAACATTTACAGCTGGTAGATTTAATCTACAATGTCACAGCAGCATTTTTCCTTTCATTTTTGTTTCTCTAGGACAGTAAAACAAAAACAAAAAAAAAACCTTATTTAATTCAGGTCTCACTTACAGTTCCTGAAATTTCTCTTCAGTTTTGTTCTCAAGATGGCCTCCCTTGCTGGGCATGACTCACTGGTCTAGTGACTCAGAAGTGGTATCTAACAAGACAGGGACCGTGCAGAGCTGTGAAGGGACTTGGTGGCCAGTGGCGCCTGCCTGAAGCTTTCCGGAAGCCCAGTTATTGAGATTTAGCATCATTTCTTTTTATTAACAGGTGTTTACAGTGGTCACTGGTACCACTTTATTTGAAGCTTGGGTTTTGCCCAAGTTACTGCCTTGTTCTGAAAGGCCCTTAGGCTTGAGTCTGTCCTTGTTCCTCAGCTGGGTGTGGCCTTGAGGTTTACTGTGAGACAGGAGAAGGCTTCTAAGAGTCACTCGACCCTGCTTGGGAATGGCCACAGAATGAGGAGGTCTAAGGTTCTATAAATATTGTGTCAGAAGGAAAAATAAAGGTTGTTTTTATATGATGAAGCCTTCAAACCTCTTTCAGCCTGTTTTTTGTTTTTTAAGATCAGTTAAGGATGGTTAGAGGGATGGATAGATATGTGATGAAGCAAGCATAGAAACATGTTCTTATAGATGAGGTTACTGTACAATTCTTTCAACTTCTTTCTGTGTTTGAAATTTTTCAAGGTAAAATATTGAGTAAAATGCATGCGCTTCTAGAAATGACCACGCTCTTAAAAACAAAAACAAAAACTTCCTTTCAAACAGAAATCACAACCCTTTTTCCCTTTTCCCACTTTCTCACTACTCCCAACCTTCTTTTTTTTTCCCCCATGGGGAGGCTGCTTGATTAAAAAAGGCCTGGAGCAGGGCTGGCAGTTGGTTAGCTACTCTATGCCAAGGGCTATTTTTTCTGATATGTAATTCTCACAAAAACCCTACAAGCTAGTTACTGTTTTCTACGTTTTATGAGGAAACTGAGGCTCAGAAAGGTATACTTGACCCTGGTCACAAGCTAATAATAACAATACTGTAGCATTTATGGAGTTCTTTATGTATCAGGCTTTGTACCATGTACTTTATGTATATTAACTGGTTCAAGCCTCACCCAACCCTAGTAGGTAAGTGCCTTTATTATCTTCATCTTACAGATAGGAAACAGACTCAGAGAGATGCAAGAACTTGTTCCAGGTTATTCTAACCTGATGCCGTTTAGTTGATTCCGGTTCATAGCAACCCTATAGGACAGAGTAGAACTATTCCACAGGATTTCCAAGGACGCCTGGTGGGTTTGAACTGCCCACCTTTTGGATAGCAGCCATAGCTGTTAACTATTACGCCACCTCCAGGTTATTCTAGGGGCTGATAAATGGCAGAGCCCATGTTTGAACCCAGTCTCTCTGGCTTTGGAGCCTCTGCCCTCCTCTTCAAACCCAGACCTGTGTGTCACCAAAGGCTTGACATTCTTCTGCCTAACTCTTCGAGGCTCATCTTATGGAAACCTCTTTCCCTGAGGCTACAAGCTCCCTGTGACCAGAGCCTGTTTTGCTCAGTACTGTGTCGTTCATAGTATCCAGAGCAGTGCCTGTCTCAGTGACATTGCCTGAATGGTGGTTCCTCACCACCGATTTCTCCCGTTTCAGCCCCTAAAAGTGCTCTCACTGGGCACATTTGGACTGTTCTGGACTTGGTTTTCGGAGACGGAGATGTCCGTTCTTTGATATGGCTTATGGGCCGGCACGGGCTCATTTAGTGGCCAGCGAGGAGTTCTCATGAAGGCAGATTTTCCTCATTGGTCTTTCTTGAGTTGGCAACGAGGAACAGAAAGGTATTATCCACTGCCAAAGAAATATGGGAGCAAAAAACCCAAACGCTTAAAATTTTCCAAAACTTCCAAGGAGTCTTCACATTTTGGCAGTTAGAAATCAACTCAAAGACCTCTGGTGGCCCAGACAGCATTCACTTTGCAGCCATATTTGACTCTTGGGCTGCAGTAATGGGGAGGTGAACACTGGTAATTAGTTCTTTATATAAATGTGCCCACGCATGCTGATAATTTTATAGAGCTTGGTTATAAAGTACCAGATCCCTTTTGATCTTTGGTATAGCATATATATGGCAAGTGTGATTAACCCTACTTTACAGATGAGTAAACCGATGCCAGAGAGGTTAAGTTACCTGCTCTGTACCACTCAGTTAATAAGTGGTAAAGATAAGTCTCCAACCCTCCTATTTCAATTCCCAGTCCAACAAATTTCCCATGTCAATATTATATTTAACCCAGCAATTGGGGAAATGAGAGCAATAGGTAGGTGTTATTTCATTTTGTTGCTATTCTCCCAACTTCGTGAGGTCCTGGGTTGGGTCAGTTTCCCTTTCTGTATAATAGGGACTAAACACTACCCATCAGTGCACTTGGAGCAAAGGAGCTGTGAGAATTTAGACGTTAAAAAACAAACAAATATAAACAACTCTCCTTGCAACGTAATTTCTGAGTAAGGATGTTTGGAAGGGACTTTGATGACCCATTTACATAAAATGGGTCAAATGTCACCTCCCCTGGCCACCCTATCTAAAATGACACCCTTGTTACTTCATTACAATGCTTCATTTTTCTTCACAGCATTTGGTATATTTTTATGTTTGTTTATTGCCTGTCTGAATCCTCTCACCATGTAATAGCTATGAGAGCAGGGGCTTGGTCTATTTTCTCTACTCCTGAATCCTTTGCAGGTGGAACAGTGCCTGGCACAAATAACCATTTGTTGGTGAATGCATGAATCTGAGCTGTATAATCATAGGAAGTAAGCTGAGGTTTTCCTTGACTCTTCCCTGTATTTTCTAACAGAGGGGTCTTAGGCCTGGCTTCCTCATACTCACTTCCGGCTAAGCCATGGAATGGCTTAAAAAAAATCACTAAAGCCTACTTGAGTATCTGCTTCCCAAAAACAAACAAACCCATTGCTGTCAAGTGACCTTGTAGGACAGAGCAGAACTGCCCCATAGGGCTTCCAAGGCTGTAAATCTTTACAGAAGCAGAATGCCACATCTTTCTCTGGGGAAGCTGCTGATGGGTTCAAACTGCCCACCATTAGTGGCCAAACACTTAACTACTGCGCCACCAGGGCTCTTGAGTATCTGCTTTGGTTGAAATTCATTGCTGTCCAGTCAATTCCAACTCATACTGACCCTACAGGACAGAGTAGAACTGCCCCATAGCGTTTCTAAGGAGCAGGTGGTGGATTTGAACTGCCCACCTTTTGGTTAGCAGCCAAATGCTTAACCACTGTGCCACCAGGGCCCTGAGTATCTGCTTAGACCTGATAAAATGGGTTCAGTAACCTGTGTGCCTACAGCAGACACAGGTTGCTGGATTGCATTGCATGCATCTGGATTCTAACAGTCTGTGAGGAGGCTGAGGCCTGGGATTAGTCTTGTTCACCGTGGAATTCCCAGCATTTAGCAGAGACCCTGTCCACAGTGGCTCGGTGGTTAAGAGCTCTGCGGTTCCAGTACACCAGCTGCTCTTTGGAAACCCTACGAGGCACTTCTGCTCTGTCCTATAGGGTCTCTGTGAATCAGAATCAACTGGACGGCAACGGGTTTGGTTTTTGGTTTTGGTCTGGTCCACAGAGAGGTAAAAGAAATGTTTGTCGAATGAGTTAATTTGTAAGAGGAAACAGAGCACAGAGCTCTTAATCCCCCTCCACAGATGAGGTCTTCATTTGAAACTAAACCTAGCACATGGCACTGTCATTTCCCTTTCAACTTGAATCAAATCTCTCCAAAGACAAGGCTGCGCTACACAGTTGGTTTGCTAACCTAAAGGAGGAAAGGCAAGCCTAGGCTCCAGATCCGGTTCCATGCCATGTTTTGGAATTTGTGTTTACGTCTGCCTTCATCAGCATCCTTTCCCTCCAGCATAAGCACAATTATAACCCCGCACACCAGCTTGCATGCAATTATCATAGCCCGGGTGCCCCTCCGTTGACGGACTTCGACCCCGAGGATCGCCGACTTCTGTGAATGACAAATCAAAAGTCAGGGTTGCAGAATCAGCCGGACTCTCCTGCTTATTTGCAGCAGAGGGAGGAAGGAAAGAATGAAAGATTCTGAAAATAAAGGTAAGGGGCTGACTGCAGAGGGGGAGGCCAAAAGATGCTGGGGATGAGGTGTCACTCCACGGACATGTTTACTTTGTACTAGTGGCTGATTTAAAATTCCTGTGCATATATTATTTTAAAAATCTGAGTTATATAATAAATACGATGACTTTTAAAAATAACTGGCTTCTGGTTTCTAAATATTGTGTCATTCAATTTTCTTTTTTTGTGGTACTAAATATAACAATATTTTTGCATTCTTCATTTAATCTTGAGTAACACATATTTCCATTTCACGGATCTTACAAAGGTCGACAGAGAAGCCCTTAATGAACATTAATCTTTTTGGAGGGCCCACTGATGAGCTGTCACTCACTGACCTTCAGAACTATTTATTTTGCGGAGATTTGGATACACCGCCCCCGCCCCGGGCCTCCACCCATTCCATCGCTGGTACATTAACAGACCTTCCCCTCCCAAACACTAGTTCTGTTTCAGGGATGGAGGAGAAGAGAAATAGATGTAAATGAAAACTCGGGAGAGGAAAGGGGCTCACGCAAAATGAGCCAACAAAATGCGAAGTTGAACAAGAAGGGTTCTGAAGGATTCTGGGGTTTTAAATTCCGAGGCTCCTTAAATTTTCTGCCGCAGTTGGGGGAGGAGCGAAAGACCCCAAGGTCTCCGGAGGCTACACGTGTTCCCCGGTGCTGCTTCCAGCAGGGAGCCTTTCTTTCCTACTGCCCTGGTTTTCTCCTGGTCAGGGTGCCCGCGGAAGGCGCAGAGAGGCCGGGCGCTCTGGTAAAAAAGCTCTCTGCGTCGCCGCGCTCGGCCCCTGCTTTCTTGAGAGCTAATTTAAGGGATCCCATGTCCCCCCACCCCGCCCTTTCCCGGCGTTCTTGCCCGGGAGCCGCAGCGCAGCGTTAGAACTCCACCCTTTCCTCCCCTTGCGCTCTGGCTTGAGGAGGCCCCAGCACTTTGCCCTTGGGCAAGGGGGCTTGGGTGCGCCGGGAGAGGCTTGGCGCTCAGCTTCTTCGGCGCCCGCCCTTCCACAAACCTCCCCCGTGCCCAAGGCAAGTTGTTTGGGTGATCAGTGGGACAACACAGACCCAAGCCTTCTTCCTGCTCGCAGGGGCGCCTGCCTTAGCCGTCTCCAGTCCTTAGGAGACTGCCTGCCTTCCTGGTTTGTTACACGATTCCCACCTTGTGTTGGGCAATGATATTTATTCCACGTTAAAGAAAGAGAAGAAGAACACCCTCACGTAACCTGATAACAGTGGGAAGACTGATATTTTAATTTACCAAGCAGTTTGTAGCGGAAGATTCTTAAACAAACCCACTTGCTTTAATTGAGGCTTTAAAAAGGGCAGAAGCAGCTGGTGTTGGTAGTGTTCGCATCTCATAGGCTCTGAATCATTCAAATCCCTTATACTGATCTATGCGGTTCTGATGTTTAAATTTTAATTCAGCAGCCTTAGTGGGGAAGAAAACAGCTTTGCACGGGCCTGGTATTCACTCCTTCTTCTAAGTCATACTGTCATGTACAAGTAATACCCATGTGGGTATAATCAAATTATTTAAAATTAAAGAGAGTGTTGGCTTTTCTCTGCATTGTTTTCAGTGGCTGGAGAAAGGTTTCTGAAAAGAAAAAAAATTTTGTTTATTTGCCAAGTCATGCTAGGCCATGGACATAATTTAGAAAAAAAATAAATAAAGCTGCCTGAATTGGAGCCTCAGGTTGAGGTTCATATTCACCACAGTTTGCAATGGAAACACTCCCAGTGTCTCAGTGTATCAGTATGTTTTAAGCTTTAAATCCCCAGTTGCTTTTAGAGGGGAGTTGGTATTTAGAATTTTTGTTTCACTTTGTATTGCAAAGAGCGTTGGGTTTGGGAGTCAGTATAGTTAGGCTCTGGCTTGTTCAGCCACTAACTCATTAGTGACCTAGGACAAGACCCTTTATTTTATTTCTTTGAGTCTCTGTATCCTTATCTCTAAAATGGAGCGATGTTAGACTAGGTCAGTGTTCCTCAGGTTGCAGGTGCTGAGAATGTAATTTAGTGAGCCTCAACCAGCATTTTAGAAAGATGAAATAGAATAGAGAATGCCAGAAATCATTGTGCACGGTAAGGTACGTATTATTTCTTGAAAATTCTGTTTTAAATATGTTTATATATTTAGGTATAGTATGTATTGGGATGTCAGATCTATTTCTTACTGTGAGTCCCAGTCAGAAAAGTTGGAGAAGCACTGAAATAGGTCATAGCTTCTTAGCCTGGTTTTCCGGGAGTTTGCAGTCTTGTATGCATGTCCAATTTTATATGTACATGAGGAGAAAATCAATAGTTTTCCTCAGATTTGCAAAGGGGCCTAAGACTCCAAACCGGTCATAAGTTGACTGTACTTCTAAGGTCTCCCAAGCCTCTTCTAAACCAGTTTCCTGGAGATCAAAGAATTTCTTCAGGGCTGTGAGATGGGTATGTTCTGGAGTTGTGTGATGTGAGGTGGGGTGTGTATGTGTGTGTTGAGGACAGGGCGTGGCCATGGCAGTCAGACCATGAGAGCTGTTTATCAGTACCAAAGTACCAGTTGATGACCTGAATATGAAACATAAATACACTAAAAATTAGAGTCTTGGTCCTGAAAAGAACCACAGAAAAACTATTAGAATGTTGTCCATTGTTTAGGAGTCAGCTCTCCTTGCAAAGGCTGAAAAAGAGAACCAGATAAAATTTAAAGAGGTTGACAGGGCAAATAAATCATCAGGATGTTCGTAGGCAGAAACTAAATTTTTATTAGCTACCATCACATGACTGGTGTTTAGTAAATGTTGAATTGTGGTTTCATAACTGCCTTCCTTTCTTTTCCCTCCTTTGGAACACCCCGTCTTAAGACAGTCCAGTGAGGCTTTTAAAGACAAAAAGGCATTGTATAACATTTACCCAGATATCTCAAAATGCTCTGCAAGCCAGAAAAGAAATAAATTATGTATGAGGCAACTAAGAAGAAAACAGTTGAATGAGTTAATAAGTAGATATTGGTAAACAGGACAACTAATTATAATAATAACATCTCCTATTTAATGAACAGCTAGTATGTGAAAAGAACTCTGTGAGGTGCTTTGCATATTGTCACAACACTGCAAGGTAGGTGGCATTTTACATGTAAGAAAATGAAGAGCTGGATAAAGAATTTTGTGCAGGGACACATAGCTAGTAAGTGAGCTAGTATTCAAACTTAGGTCATTTTACCTCCCAAACCATTCATGATAGTAAGCAAGGCTTGAGAATAAGTAACCTTGTAAAACTGCAGAATTTTAAAATAGGATTGGCAACATCATTCAGTATTAGAATTCATTTACATATTCTTTGAGAAATGTGAACCTTAAAAAACGATGACATTTGACTTTCCTAGGTTGGTTGTGTTTATTTGGAAAACAGACCTTTTAACTCTTTAATTTCATTTCCAGATTTTCTTTCTATTTAATAAATTCTCTGAATATTTTATGCAACAAGGCCCTGGAGGTAGAGATATGAAGAGGTAGGAGTGAAGAATTTGAAAATTTGGGTGGAAATTTCTGTGTCTACAAGAGGTCAGGGAAAATAGTTCTGCTTTCAATTTTTCTGTCATTCTTCTAGATTTTATCTCAAAATAGCAAATTTGACGTTTTGTGATCAAATGAAGTTGCACATGACATATTTTAATATAATAAAACTAGGATTAGAACGTTGTGCCGGTGGTTGGCATTTCCTTGATGTAAAATGTTCTTTGATTTTTCACTGAAGATTAAGACAAAATCGCATTGGGAGTTTGAACAGGGTTGATCTAGACCTTTAGATCCAGTCCTAAATATTAAAATTCAAAATAAATAAATGTAAGGAAATACAAAAACATTGTGATTTTTCTTAACCATCACGACTACTTTGAAGCTTTTAGAAAAACAGAATTTTCGCTGAAATTCTAAATATCTTGCTTGTGACTGGATGGGTTGGAGAATGATATTTTTGCTGGGGTAATCTGTAATAGCTGAATAATTTCTCAGGGTTTCAGAGCTAGCACTTTGCTAAGGTTGAGATTAGAACCTATTCTATGCCAGTAGTTCTCAGTGGGCATGGTACTGCCTCCTGGGGGACACATTGGAAATTTATAAGTGTGTATTTTGATTGTCATAATAACTGGGGGTTCTAGTAGTATTTGGAGTCCCTGGGTGGTGTAAATGGCTAACGTGCCCAGCTGCTAACCGAAAAGTTAGAGGTTCAAGTCCACCCAGAGCACCTTGGAAGAAAGTCCTGAAGATTTACTTCTGAAAAATCAGCCACTGAAAACCCTGTGGAGTACAGTTTTACTCTGACACACATGAGGTCTCCATGAGTTGGGGTTGACTTGTTGGCAACTGATTTAATAGCATTTAGTGGGCAGAAACCAGAAATAGTAGATACCCTGCAGTGTTCAGCACTGTTCGGCACAATGACGAATTATCCCGAGTCCTGTGCAGCTTTCAAATGTTTTGCTTATAAGTGCGAACCTCTTTATGCGTTTCTGAGCCTAGAATGTAAATTGGTTCTACATATACACTGAAGTTTTCAGGTTTAAAATTACTGTGTAAATTGAGGAACGATTATACTTAGTTTTGTTCAGAAAATCACTTCCCCAAAGCAACACAGCTAATTGTATTTGAGATACCACCGCAGCATATCTGTCTCATTCTGTCTGTGTATATGTGTAAGCACCTGACTATTATGTCTTCTAATGTAGTCTTATCAGAGTATTTACATATTGAAATGCGTATTATTTTATTACAACTACCAAGTTTTTCACTTCTGCTTTATATTACAGTTGGAACATTTTATATGTATGTATGTGTGTGTGTTTTATATATGTGTATATATAAAATTATGTGTTAACCCACTGCCGTTGAGTCATTCCAAATCAGTGCCCCTATAAGACAGAGTAGACCTACCCCATAGGGTTTCCAAGGCTGTAAATCTTGGAATGGAAGCTGACTGCCACATCTTTCTCCCACA